TTTGACCCTTTTATTTGATTATTTTTTAGAGTCAAAATAATCCAGAAATGATCTTTTTTAGAGTATTATTAGAGTTATTAATGAGTAATGAGGCATAAAGGTCATAATTAACCAACAGTGGTTTTTAAAAATGTGTAATATTCACAAGAACTTAAGTTGATCAAAACTGACACAGGAAATTTGTTAGAAAACAACCAAATATGTCTATTATTATACTTTATATAAGTGTTCATGGAACTGCCGTTTTTGACTGGGAAAACAAAATTGTGTAACATTAAATGAACACAACATTATGGTTTAAGCTACACACTGTAACAGATATGGAAGAAATTTACATCGGCCTTGGAGACAACTTGAAACAACAGGTCATCAGAGTTTTTATCAAGTGTCAGTGAGGATGTGTGAACCCCAGTAACATATCCAGAGTTTACCGTTAAGTAGCCAGTGGGAGCCAAGCTGATGCCTCAGTCTGCCTTTCTGTTAAAGCACGCAGTGTTTTTGAAATGCTCTTTTATTGATTCATCATTGAATATTAACTTGTTTGTACTTTCATCTGTTAGTTTGTCGTCCTCTTCTGCAGGATTTCCCGTCAGGTCAAGCCTTTTTCACCTTTTCAACAAATACAGTTTGACTTTGCAAAGCAGAAAAATGACACGTGACACAAAAAGTGTAAAACTGTTGACTTTAAAGGAAAAATTTTCCTACAATGTTAAGGTTAAATGATGACTATAGAATGAAAACTGTGGGCAGATCGCTGTGGAGGAATATTTGCTCCACAATGTTGCTGTGGATCAACAAGCGAGGCTCTCCACTCTAGATCAAAACGTATATTTATTCATGTATTTATGTACATATATAAGTATTTATTTATTTATTGATATCAGTCATTCAAAAGTACTAAAATGTATGCAAAGTGTATGGCAGCATGTATTTCACCGCCAAGCCAATCATTTCAAAATTTGAACACTGTTTCTACAAGAAAATGTGTGGGACGAGTGCACTAGTTACATGGCATATTTCATTATATCTAAACTTAGCACAAAAGATAAAAACAATTATTAGCATAGCTTTTAGAATGTAATTTTGCTTCATTTAAATTATCCTAGAAAGTCTTACTGCTTACAGGACTGCATAGGCAATCCTCCTGTGCTTGTTTTTAAAGCTGCCATCCAAATGCATGGACAGAGAACGTGGGCATGAAAAAAATCACATACATTATAGAAGCACACTTTTTTCAGATTTTTTAAAAATCTCAAAATTTAAACATTTTGCTTTATTATATTTCTGCTGCACATCCTTTAAAAACCAGCTTCATTAACAGCTCCTCTCACAGCAACCCAAATTCAGAGTTGTGTTAATCTATCTTAAGCTATGACGCAGTAAGCCAAGAAAAACATACTTTTAATTCTACTGTTGTAATAATTTGGCACAGTCATGGTAAAAAGACAGTAAACGGTCTGCCAAACAACACACACCACAAATCTCTGAATAAATCTCTGCTATTATTTCAATTTGTCCTTGTTTAACCTTATAGGCATTACTGCCCATCGTTGTTTGGTTCATCACGAGGTTAAGTTACAGCCTAATCTCTCCAGATTAAAAAAAGCAACATCTTCCTGAAATTCTTACTTCTCGTCATGTAAGTTGGTAACTTAGTTATAACACCCTCCAAACACATATTTGTTTTGATCGCTAAAATCTGGGTTCTCTCCAGGAGCCCTTCAACAACCCCTCCCCCCTACTCTTCATCATCAGCTGGATCAATCATTTTGTGTACTTATGTGTCAACACAGACAAGCTGATGATTGATTGGGGACGACATCAGTGGGCAGAAGAGACCCATTGCTCCCTAACAGAAAGAATAACTCTCTGTAGCTGCAGCTTATTTTGAGAGATTTATGCCTGTTTTTTTTGTTTATTTGTTTTTTTAATTTGCTTGTTGAAACATTTCTGAGGGACGAAAACTGAAAAGACGAGAGCAATTTTACAGTTTCATTGTTATCGTTACATTTGCCAGGATGATATCTGCCAGAGTTTCTGTTTCCTTGATACTTCTTCTCTTCATTCACTTTGAAATGGTGAGTTAGCCTCTCTTTTATCAGTTTTGTTGATCTGTTGATCAGAGTTGCACTACATGGCTAATGAGGCCAGTATTCAGTACTGTGTTGTGTAATAACTGTAACTGAGATTTAGCAAATTTACAGAATTTACAGTTGCTATACTTTTAGTTCTGTTTTAAATGGGCTATTATAAAAATTGTTGAACAGTTTTGTAAAATCACTTAGATCTGAATGCAAATTTATAAAAATAACATTTGAGGTTGGGCTTTGGGGGAATTGGAGGCTTCACTGTGGCAAATGTAATCAGTCAGCGTGACTGAGTTTGAAAAACCCGGACTCTTACTGCAGGAATCCAACAGGCAAGCCTACCAAGTGATATGAACCATTTGCCCATATATGATTTATTTACCTTAATCACCAACAGTATCCTGATGTTCTAGACCCAAAAGTGCTCAAATTTGTTTGAAACCATGGAGTGATCAGGTAGCCTGGTTAGCGAGTTGTTGTTTTGACCTTCTGCCCACCTGAAGCAACATATTTCCACCAATGCAGCTGTGTGTGTTGCTTTAAAAAGCTGCAGAACATTTTTAAGCCTTATAACAGAGGTCACAGGCTAGTATTTCCAATAGATATAAATAAATAAAGTGATTTAATGTCAAATGTTACAAAAATAACTAAATTGCATATCTTCTGTAATTTAGCAATTATCTTCATTAATACCAAACAGACAGTTTAATGAACTTTACACCTAGCAGCTCTAAACATATGGAGTCTTACGTGGGATTAATGAAATTCCTATTATAAGTAGGCTACTTTAGCTTTAAAACTGTAATAAAATAAAATAAAATAAACAAATAAAATAACAAAGAATAAAAAAAACCGAATAAACCATTTTTCTATGAATTTTGACTAAAATCCAGTTCCAGACTTAGCATTAAGCAAAAAAATCTTTTTGCATACTGTTAAATTGATCCAGTTTCCATCCTGTTCTTGGTGAAGGCTAGACAAAGCTTTCATCAAATTAAAAGGTTAAGTGGTAGACAGGCCATAGGGAGCTATTGGTGATTAACAGGAGAGCGAAAGGTTTGCCATCTTTACTGATTTCTACTCTCAGGTCCAGTAACAGCTGACTGTTATCAGTGAAACGACCTCAGAAATATGGATAAGACTTCAGGTTTGGAAAGGTTGTGTGTGTTTAAAGGGCCAAACCAAATGAACTTTTATTGGCAGTCATCCAGTACCAGCATAAACAAACAACATAAAGGGGGTTATAGTCCACAAAAGAAGGGCATGGATTAGTTACTGTGGGTTGTAGTGCAGGAGAAAACATTGAGATTAGCATAAAAAGTCTTATCCCCAGAATTATTTTCCAGGGCAGACCTGCTGGCCCCACCCCACAGTTCACTCAACCCCAGTGACTATCTTTGCAAGTTGCCAACCCCTCTGGAGATCCATTTTTATTTTG